AACAAAAGTGCTTCCTGTCAACTGTAAACGCATGACTGACTGCTGGTGCATGACCTATGAGCTGTCATTATCTAAAGAACTGAAGGGGTACAAGGTAAAGGGCCGTTCCAGGACTGGCATCGGGGAGGGAAAAAACCTTTGGACCTTGGATCTTAAAAAAAAAACGAGAGACTCTTGAAACAAAGGGTCTTGGGAACACAACAGCCCCAAAAAAGCAACAGTTCTTTATTTTGTCAAATTGATTGTCATTACACAGCAGCATAGTGGATGCTAAGCCCGTCACGTCATTTCCCACAGGCCCTTTATCCTGTTATTCAATGTGATATATGCACTCTAATGCTACGTGAATGTGCGTCGGTGTGTGTCGGTATCTAACGCATGTGTACTCGCTTCTGGCTTGGTACTGAGCTTTTTTTCTGGATCGGTCAGAGCTCATTTGGTGTTTGCCATGGGAATGACAACAAGCCACTGTGCTCTCCTGCTCGTGAACGTCCGCCTGCGTTTATTTCCATTTTGTGAAGCGTATCCGTGTTCCTTTGAACTGTCAGCCACCTTTTAGTCTTATATCTCTCATTTTGAATTTCAAGCCCCCCTGTTTAAAAAAAAAAACGAACTGATTTATTTGTTGCAGGTAGTGTAGCTTTGTACGTAACACCAAAAATGGCAACCTAAGGAGGGCATGTGCTTTCTCTGTCTGACAGTTCACAACTCTAACCTCTGAACTACCGACCATCTGTTCATCCACATTTGTAGCTCAGCTGCTTGACTAAAACCGCCATGTCGGACCGATTTCAGACTAATGTAGCATTGCATGCTGTTCTCTTGGGCCCGCACTAGGCCTGGATGTTTTTATTTATTTTATATTTATTAATCAAGCTGTGCTGGTGAAAAAAAAACATTTGTAGCTGTGAAGTGTGGGGCTTGGGGACTATCTCTGAGTAACTGCCTTTGTAATGTTTGGGATTTCGGATGAAGTTACGCGACAAGGAAGCGTCTTAAACGATTATTCTTTTTGTTTGTTTGTTTGTTTGTTTTTCATTTAGATGTACAGTTAAAAATAGACCGATAAATATACAGACAGCACTGTGAAAGTCCACCTTAAAATTGACCCCTGAACTGTGAACTCACAACTGTCTGTCTCACTTTTTGGCTTCAAATGTTTCACTTTTACCAGTACCAACACACACGAACAAGGTTATATGGTAACTAAGCTTAAACTACTTCTATTGCAACTTCATTATTAACGTCATTTGCATGTGTTTTTTAGTTGTTATTCTTTTTTTAACTACGAAAGAGCCCAAACATACACAAAACTGTTGAAGTATAGTCTACCAAAGCAATAATATCAAACGTGCTGCAACAGTTGGAATACTGCGTTGTTGTCGGTGTGTGTGTGTGTGCGCGCGCGTGTTTTTCTGTCTATGAGCGCTTGTGGTTTCAGTATATACTGTATTAACCCGACATTTTAGTAGCATTTGTAAGACGTATACGATTCAAGAGATATAACAGCATGCATGAGTATGTCACACCGTATGCAATTACGTGATCTACATGCCAACTCCAGTTCACTGAACGGTAGCTGTTTCACTTTAATGGACAAGGTTTCTTTGAACGGCTGGCAAGCATAATGAAATCAGGTACGGTGCTCAGCATTTAATCACAGCACAGTTGCTTACATAGTCACAAGCACACCGTGATATACTGTCTCACACATATGTGTAGTTTAAGTTGAGGGATGTCATTGAATGAGTGAATGAATAAATGAACTTATCCTCCAAACTAAAAAAAAAAAAAGATTTATGGAATGCATGGACAATTGGACGAATGACAATGAGTGTACTTTCATATTTAAAAAAAAAAAAGTCTAATCAGATCCTAGTGTTTTTGTTGATTTCATGAAATTGTGTGCTTTGTGAGAATGCACACGTCCCTTCGCTTTAAAACCCTCATGAGTTTTGCCTTCACTGTATATTGTTTTCTACAGTTCACTCAGGTTTATGTTGACAGATGATTTCTCTTCCATTATTCTAGTTAATACACATGTAACGGTAAATCCTACATCCACTCAAAGGAGTATAAGGATTATCAGGGGTGTTGGGAAGTGGGTAAGGGAAGTGACCTCAGCATGATTGACATGGATACATGTTCAATATCTTATCGCTGCTGTAATTGTTAACTGAGACATACAATTCCTGAAAATGGGGGAAAGGAAGAGAATGTTTTCAATTAATTCATTAATTTATATTTATTTAATTATTTATCTGTGGTTTGTTTAAGGAACAAAACGATCTAACATTGCAATCATTATGTATTAAAAAAGAGTTTATGTACAATGTTTAACTGTTGCAAAAAATAGACTTCACCTATACTCCTTTAGAATGGATTAATGACAATATAAACGCAATATCATATTACTCTGTACTAAGGAATGCAACTGCGCACATGCACAGAAAAAGATGTTTTTAATAAAGAATATATGTATAAATATATGACAAACTATATTTAATTAGAATGCTATGCACCCTTATTAGAGTTGTTATGGATGTACTTTAAATATATTAGTTAGAATCCCGTAATACATACATGCCCATGTCATGGGAAATGTGGAGGCTTTGTAGCTATTTGAACATGTTTTCATTTCCTTTTTTTTTATTGTAACGGAGACAGGAAATACGAACACTGAATATGTATACAAGCCTTTTATTCAGATTCATTCTGATATGAAGATATGTATAGATCATTTACCCTGCACACCAGCTCAGATCATTTACAAAAATTAATAAAGAAAGATGTGACATATTGTGACACTGTGTGCGTGTGTAAGAGAATGTGCCAAATATTACTGATATGCATTTATAAATCTAGCAGGCTATTAACGTAAAAGAATGAATGAACGGAGACTACAGGATGGGTACATATTTTAACATAGGATAATTTTCAACTCCAACTTGTCACCATTGTCACAGAAAATCTTATGATGTTGACAAAATTATCATATTTTGCATATCCACGTGTATTATACAGTGTGATACTTAAAAATATTGTAAAATAACTACTAAGTAACTTTAAAAAAAAATTTTTTGTTAAAATTAATCCGATATTTTTTCTTACAAAAAACACTAAGATCATCTCTAAGTAATTTCGGTGGAGATGTTGCCATGAAAGTACACGAATGGCAAGTAAAGTTTTGTCCATGAATCTGTGTACAACTCGTGTAAACGTCGAAAAAAAACTACATTTCCTATCGTGCTATTGCAATACCGCCGCATACCGCCGTTGTATCAATTCTCCGTTTTAAACAGCCCTTTCCTGCTCGTGTTTTGTTGAGTGTGTGCTGTGTGCATGAGGGAGTGAGAGAGAAAACGTGGTCACGGAGAAGGCTAGCATTTTAGCTAGTTTGCGAGTGTGAATGAAGTGTTATACAGGCTCAAATATTTAGTATTATTTATTTTTGTATGTAGTAAAGTTTGCCACAAACGGACAAGGTAAATAATTATAGAAAGTAACTTGATACCGAACTGCTGCTAACATAGATTTTTTTTCCGGTTAAATTCGAGCTGAACTGTTTTATTATTTTGCTCTAAGGTGCAGAGACACTATTTGATTAAGGTAGCTGGCTGAATTTGTGATTGCACTAGTGTTGAAAATGTCCATGGGCAGTCAGAAGACCACCAGTCAGGCAATTCCGACCACCAGACGAGTCACAATCAACGATGCGGCCCATATGCCTCACGATTACTCTACGACGCCCGGAGGGACCCTCTTTAGCACGACTCCTGGAGGTAAATGTCACGAACTTGCAGATGAATCGTTTGGGGGCACTCGCAGCTGTCGCGGTGCATGCATTGTTTTTGTTATGACCGCGACATAGCGATGCATCTCCGCTCGCATTGTCTTTGTGCTTGACAGACCGCGGTGCGCGTGCTCATAACGCTCCAGCCTGCTGGTCTTGTATTGTTTGCCTTTTAACTGTACCTGTGAAGGGGTCATAAATTCAGGTTATGTTATCTTTACGACGAGAAGAACATTGTTTTATTGACTCGACTGCAGTCTTTATTTGTCTTGCTAAACAATGTTCTGCTGGTCTTCTCAGACGTTGGAATGGCAGAAATACTATTCAGATATGCTTACGATGTACAATTCTAAACGTAAAAACAGGAATTGATTGATTAAAAAATGAAATTAAATAAGTATACATTCCAAATAAAGAGGTTATTTCTTTACAGGCCGTTTTGACTGTTTCAAATTTTGAACATTTCATTTATGACATTAAAATTACTTAAGATGACATCATGGCCTTGAACGACCTTCAAGTGTATTTTGGACGGGCTGGTGTGGTGTTCTAATATTATGCATGATAATGAAATTTGTCCACTTTTTGAAGATGAATGAATTATTTTAAAAAGGAAAAAGTATCTTTTTTTTATAGCTGAGGAAAAATATGAAACATTCTCTCATGAAAAATAGAAACATTCTCTCATGTCTGTTATAATTACTTTTATGTTTTATTATGTACATTGTGGATTTTGTCAGATGACAAAATTTGTAAACCGTCGACAAAAGTGGACGTGACGCCTCTCCAGGCATGTGACTGTGTTGGTTTCCCATTGTAAACGGCCACTTCTGCTTTTCTAGTGCATAAGGGTGACTATTCTTATTATTGTAAATAGTGTATCAATCACTGTTTGTCTAGAGATCATCAGATGAGCCGTGATGTAACACACAATAGTCGCCTTACAAAAATTCCCAAGAGCAATATATCATGCTTGATTTCTATGCATAAACCAATGGGTTGTGTTTATAGGTGTTTCAGGCTGTTTTCTACACCGTAATGCACTCATTAGCTTTTCCTCACTGAGTGAATGTAGTTCAAGGATGTTTGTGTGTGACTGTTCACAGTAGGTTCAACAGGGCTGATAGGAGGAGAGCTGATAGTATGTTCTCACTACTTCATTTCAGCCTGTCGGCTTGTGCTTTTCTGTTCTGATAAGGAAAAAGTGTAATGAAAAATAGGGTGTCAAACATTGACACTTTACAAGGGTCAGGTTTTAATGATGCAACTCTTGAATGTTGTAAACTGCACAGTCGTAGGAACATGTTTAGACATGTTTGGATTGAATGTAACCCACAATACTAACATGGCACTTACTGAACGCACCTGGCTGGCCTCCATGTTTTCACAGGCTTGTCGGTCAACTTTGCTCTTGTAGCCTGTTCTAAGACTGTTGTTTCCTTCCCGTAATATAATCTTGATTTGATTACTAAATAATTATGTAGGCACCCGGATCATCTATGACCGAAAATTGTATAATATGATGTAAGAAAATAAGGAGCTTATACTCGAGGGGAAAAAAAGGCCTCATTTTTTTTTCAGAGACCCATGCATTTTGATGCAGTTGCTGATATTTATATGCATGTAAATGTGCATGTAAGTAAGATTACTTGCATAAAATGCATATAAATATTAGTTATCATTTTATATCCCCCAATAATGTTTTAATAAGAAGATATTTAAATGCTTAGTTTTATGATCAACGCTCTGTTTTAATTGTCCTCAATTGATGTATTATATTTAATACTTAGATTTTAACATAATTTTTTTCTAAAAATGATGTATGGATAATCAAGTAAGTGTCTTCAATCTAGTAAGTGTTCATCTTGAAAAATCACTAACAATATAAAAGTATTCTTATGTGTACTTCATAAAAATCATGAAAGATTTCACAGCAAAACAACATCATCACGATGCATCATGACCTGAAGACCTTTTACTTGCTAAAAACTGTAAATTATCAATCAAATGACAGAAGGCATGTACTAGATGGTGTACAACAGGTTTTTCAGCAAGGTTTTTGATCATATTGATAACTCCATGGACTTGGAAATTTGTGTATCAAATGAGATGCAGTAGAATTTATAGGGTTAAATGTTTAATTTTTTCTGTAATTTCAAGGGGATGATGCCCAGTTTGAAATGGATATCTAACTACAACAGAGGACGGGCTACACGAAGGAGGCGATGACTGTAACAAGTATTACTGTGATGATAACTTCCCTGAGAGGATAAATGCACAGAAGACTTCTCCTTCCATGTCATCTGTCTTTTTTCTTTCATTTACCTGCTGTTTAAATGATATTTTCCTTTCCTGTACTGATGCTGACGTTCAAGACGCACACAAAGCCATTATTTTAGATTCTCAACATCAGCTAACACTGTTGTGCCTGAAAGAGCCACTATCTCAGATGACAGATTTCAGACTTCTGCCTAAGACATGGAGGACATCTCACAGGCCACCATGTGACATTGTTTGTTTGATACAGATTTGTGTAGTTTTACAGAATGGTCATTAGAGGGAGCAATGGTTCTCTTCTTGGTGGTTTTCTCATCAAGAATGGTGTGGAGGAAATCCAGATGCCAACTCCTATAAATTTAGCATACCGCAAATCAGTGAATTTGACCACTTTCCATTTGGCATTGATACTTTTTGTAATGTAAAATCTAATTTCTGTTTATCCTAATGAGTATGCTCACCTAAAGTGTCATTCAACATAATGTAAAATGCCTTTGTACAATATTTTTATTTTTTATTTTTTGCTGTGAAGTTCTCTAAAACTGCCCTGTTATTTCTGAATACTGAACGCACCTGGCTGGCCTCCATGTTTTCACAGGCTTGTCGGTCAACTTTGCTCTTGTAGCCTGTTCTAAGACTGTTGTTTCCTTCCCGTAATATAATCTTGATTTGATTACTAAATAATTATGTAGGCACCCGGATCATCTATGACCGAAAATTCCTGCTGAACTGTCGCAGCTCCCCGCTGGCCCGCACACCACCCTGCTGCCTCCCTGACATTCCGGGGGTGACCAGTCCTCCTGCCGTCACCATGAATAATGACAAGGCCTACCCCAAACAGACTGTCAATAATAACAGCATCAGCCCCCTGGCGGACAAGAGCGCAGGTAAATGTGCACTGAAGCTAAAATTTGTTATTAACCGTGTAAAGCCTGATATATGAAATAATCCCATTTTATAATAATATCTAAACATAATAATAACAATAAAATGTATATTGTTTTATTATAACAAATTAATGTTCTTTTAAAATAATAAAATTTGTAGCCTATAAATGCTTTTTAAATGGAACAGTTTAACAAAAATACCTAATATA